TTGCTCTTCTCCCTGCAAAGTCAACAGCTCAGCCAGATTCTAGGCTTTCCATTTCATCACCAGAAGGTGAAAATGGAAGATGTTGCCCTATGAGAATCAGCATGTGGGTTTTTCCCTTGTGTGTTCCTTAATCCACCGGGAAATCAGGCTGTTCCACAGTCCTACTCAGTACCAAAGCCACTCAACAGCTGAACATCCAGCTAAAGGTTTTGACAGTTTTCCATCAGATCATGTCTATTTCTTCACCAGGAAGAATCACACCTTGTTAGGCCAATACTCTGGATGATGGGCCCCCAGAGAAAACAATAAGCCAGCTGCCTACCTCCACCATGGGACTGCACCTCCATTGGGTCAAGACAGAGGAACACCCACTGTCATCAAAAGGGCTACCCAGCCAATGGTACAGTATTTCAGTGGGAAGGGTGAGGCCTGCACAGCTCCACAGCTCTGCATCCTCTGGAAGCTCACATCTGACTCTGAGTGTCAGTCTTCTCCTTGCAACAGCCATAGAATCATAGAATCATTTAGGTTGGAAAAGATGTTTAAGGTCATCAAGTCCAACCATTAACCTAGCACTGCCAAGTCCACCACTAAACCATCTCCCTAAGCACCACATCTACATGGCTTTTAAATACCTCCAGGGATGGAGACTCAACCACTTCCCTGGGCAGCTTTCAGTGAAGAAATTTTTCCTAATATCCAATCTAAACCTTCCCTGGCACAACTTGAAACCATTTCCTCTCGTCCTATTACTTGTTACTTGGGAAAAGAGAGTGACAGTCACCTCGTTACAACCTCCTTTCAGGGAGTTGTAGAGCATGATAAGGTCTCCCCTCAGCCTCATTTTCTCCAGGCTAAACGACCCCAGTTCCCTCAGCCGCTCCTCATAAGACTTGTGCTCTAGACCTTTCACCAGCTTCGTTGCCCTTCTTTGGACACGCTCCAGCACCTCAATGTCCTTCTTGTAGTGAGGGGCCCAAAACTGAACACAGGATTCAAGGTGCAGCCTCACCAGTGCCAAGTGAAGGGAGACAATCACTTCCCTTGTCCTGCTGGCCACACTATTTCTGATGCAAGCCAGAATGCTATCGGCCTTCTTGGCCACCTGGGCACACTGCTGGCTTATATTCAGCCAGCTGTCCACCAACACCCCCAGGTCCTTTTGCACTGGACAGCTTTCCAGCCACTCTTCCCCAAACCTGTAGCGTTGCATGGGGTTGCTATAACCCAAGTGCAGGACCCAGCACCTAGCCTTGTTGAACCTCCATTCACCACAACTCTTTGGGCCCAGCCATCCAGCCAGTTTTTTACCCAGCAAAGAGTACGCCCATCCAAGCCACGAGCAGCCAGTTTTTCCAGGGGAATGCTGTGGGAGACAGTGTCAAAGGCCTTACTAAAGTCTAGGTAGACAATATCCACAGTCTTTTCCTCATCCACTGAGCAGGCCACCTTGTCATAGAAGGAGATCAGCTTAGTCAAGCAGGACCTGCCTTTCATAAAGCCATGCTGACTGGGCCTGATCCCCAGGTTGTCCCATATGTGCCACGTGATGACACTCAGGGTGATTTGCTCCATGACCTTCCCCAGCACTGAGGTCAGGCTGACAGGCCTGTAGTTC